ATTGTCTCAAAACCTACATGTGGTAGGTTGTCAATAATATATGTAGGTTTTGAGACATCTTTAGAGTGAAGACAGACTTGCAGCTGGGTATCTCGAATTTCGAGGTGAACTTGCTATAATGATTGGACTATTACAATATTTTCAATTGCAGATGGTTTAATTTGTGGTGAACTGATCGATGTGGTGTTCATTGGACGAGATGTCGTGGCGGCAGCTGCGGTTCCATGTCGCTTTTTTATAATGTTGTTACTAAACAGGAGTCCTGCTACAGGGCTAACAGCTACGCCACTGGCGACGGCGTCCAGGCACTGGCTGGTAAGACTTAGGAAAAGAAATTTGTCGTTGTTTTACATTCTGGTAAAAGCAACCTGCGTCAAATAATACGTTCTTACTGAAGCTTTTATCTCAATTTTTTTTATTTAAGGTCATCGATACATTAACATGTTCGCCATAGCTGAAAAGTGCTCAGATCCTCGAATACTGGTTATGAGATATCCAGACTTTGTGAGAGTCGGTGAGATGCCATGTAAGTAAACAAATTACCAAAAGTTTGTTTTTTTTTGGTTTTTTTTTCTTATTTACCATTCAAATTACAATCTGTCTTAGTGAAGACATTTAGTAATTGGTATGTTATAATATATGGTTTATTTAGAAAGATTACCCATTGGTAATTCTTTCTAGTGTGGATATATTCTGTTACTATTTGCTGATTACTATATAAGTACTTAAATAACTAATGCTATAAAAAACTCATATCTATGATGACTATCCTAGTCTAAATAAAAAATAAATAATAAAGGAATGTAATGAAGAACAATGAAGATATGCAATCAATGTGTCAATTCTGATAACTCCGTCCTGTTCAGCCTTTTTTGATGCGTGACATTATATAGACTTGCTCCGAGCTCCTTGGGGTGTCCATCGATTTTATTTTTGTAGCTTTGGGCAATCTTTTTTAATTTTTTCTTTTACTGTGGGAGTACGTGTGTCTTGGCGGATTAGCCAGGTGGGCATATATCTTGGAGCACAAATGGCTTGGCGTAATACTTCGTTTTGGAAGCGCTGTATTAATCCAGCAAATAGCAACATACAAATATTCTTTGCTGAACCCTATATTTGAAGACCGTACGTCCACACTGGTTTTAGGATAACTTTGTAACCAAAAAATATCTGTTAACAAAATATTGGCTTGGCAATGATGGCAATTTTGGTAGTTGACACTTTTTTTGAACAAAGAATAGTTCTATTTTACTCAATAATCTTTGGCCAACTTTTTTTATGATATCTTACTATAAAATTTTTGGTCCTTGTCAACATAAAACTGAATTGATTGTTTCATGTGTTACAAATTTTGTAAATGTAGCAAATTTTGTAATGTTAAGAATCAGATGGTGCCAGATCAAAGCTGATGTATTAGGGATCTGGTATCACTTTCAAGCTTCAATAGTTTTCCACGAGTTTTCAATGCACTTTACGATCTTAGATTAATTATTGGCTGACTGTAAACATCAGAATGCATTGCTTTCGACTCTTCAAAGCAGCTCAAAAAACACCTTTGTTGTACCACCAAACTGACAGCATGATTTTTTATGGATCCAAGGATTTTGATATAGTTTCTGCTGTTTCGTCTTGTTAACCGAACTCTGATTGTTTCCAATACATGTTACAGCACATAACCCATGTTTTTTCACAAGTGGTCTTCTTGGAAGAAAAATCTGGTTTAATCTTTAAAATAGTTTTTGATCCATTATATATTTTTTATTTAACTCAATGTGTTATCTTTCAAAGAATTCTGCAAATTTCGTAATGTAAGGAATCAGATGGTGCCAGATCAAAGCTGTATTAGGGACATGGTATCATTTGTAATGGTTTTCCACGAGTATCCAATGCACTTTGCGATTCCAGACAATTCTGGTTGCTCTTCTTTACTTCATTAATTGTTGGCTGTAAACACCAGGATGCATCGTTTGGTCCCTTTGAAGCAGCTCAAAAAACAACATTTTTGTGGTTCTACCAAACTGACAGCATGATCTTCTTTGAATCCAAGGATTTCGATATAGTTTTTGCTGGTTCATCTTGTTTACCAAGCTCTGATTGTTTTCAATACATGAACCCATGTTTTTTTTTTCACAAGTGACGATTTTTTTATAAAGAAAGATTTGGTTTGACTTTGGGCAAAGTGCGCATTGAAAAAGTTCATGATTTGTTTTTTTTTTTGAAGTACCCAAATATCAAATTTCTTAGCCCAGGGCCTACAATTGTTGTGCGTGAGATATGTAGCCTTATTTCAATGATCTTATGAATTTTGGCTTTGAATTAGTCTTCATCAACTTTAGTAGATCCACTAGAACTTTGTCATTTTTGATGGAGTAAACTCCAAAACCCAATATTTATACCATAAACTTCAATATTTTGTTGTGAGCCGTACCAGCTTCTTTCTATTTACAAAATTGAAATTGAATATTTCTGAAACTGTTCGTTTCTGCACTCTATTTAAAAATAATACGCAACTAATAGCGATAATAATCCCAAGCACTACCTACATGTTTCTAAAGTTACCTCAATGTGACCAGCATCATGTGCTAAAAGGCAAAGTGCAGCAGCGAACAGTAGTTATTTGCAATCCAATATTTTTATTCTTCCAGGTACCGGTACGACGGATAAGTATTTATCCCTGGTCTTCACTGAGTCTGATTACCTGGTGAGTCTGACCGGTCTTCCAAATTATGAAATTCAGTTGTGGTGCTGGAGAACCAACGAGCAACTCTTGAGCATCCCATCAGGAATGGATGGGCCTAAGCAAATTTTAAAGTGAGTAAAAAATATAATTAGATTAATTAAAACGCCGGAAGACATGAAAATAAATGATCAACTTTTTGATTTGAGAAATAATTACATATGCAAAACCAGAGACAAGGAAAACATTGTATATATAAAGAAACTGGGTGTAAGTGGTATTTTTGTTGTAAATGTGTTTTTGTAGAAACTCTTACAGATTATTCAATTTTGCACAAATGTAACAAACTAGTTTGACAAATTGGTAATTAATTTTATAATATTTGACAAAGAGTTGAATGTACAATTTAAACATTTTATTAAATATAATCAATATTTCAATACTAATTACTATTGCACTTAGACATCACACAATTCATACAACCTTTTATCTATAAATTTACCAAATAAGATTAATGTTAACACACATACACACCAAAAACCAGAAGAATCTATCTGGTAATATGCAATTAGATATCTTTGTCTTTCAACCATATATTAATTATTATCCTAATACTTAACAAACAATATTTATTTATTGTAGATGCTCACCGGCACAACCGATTCATGTTGTTCAACTTGCAGAGCAGTCTAGTCAACTGATTGTTTGGGAAGTCAGTATCGGTGCAGGAAAGGGTTACATACAGAGACAGGTTAGTAATAAAAAAAATTGTAATAAAATCCAACATTATCCAACTGATTTATTTCTTAATCGTTTGAGACTAAGCGGCCGATTCTGCCGCATAACAGAAAAATGTTATGGCAAGGCCATGTTATGCTCCAACTTGCATACATTATGCTAATGGATCATACTGAATACTGTCAAAATGTCATGTGTTTGCTGTGCATTCAGGCATTTTACACATGAACTTCAACTTCACTCGTATGTTATGAAGCTGGTTCAGAAAGACCCTTTGTCTAAGAGGTGTCTGGGTTAGGTTTACTGTCTGACAACCTGAGGAAATCGCTTGACTCCACATGATATTTGTCAATATTGAGTGTGGAAAGTTTTTCATAACATGGCCTTGCCATAATATTTTTCTGTTATGCTTCAGAATCAGTCCCTAAATTTGTAAATTTGTAAAAATGTTGGAAGAAATTGAATTGCATGTTATTGAATTTCTTATAAATGGAATGTTTTGTTTGAATTTTACTTATTTTATGTTTATATTTAATTTTTGAAAACCGTTATGACTTTTTTTCACTTTGCAGCCTGTTCAGTTAGTTGAGTCTGGGCCCCCCTACACGAATAAGTATCCTAAACTGAATCCAGTGTTTTCATATGATGCCACACTTTATTTGGTAAACACTGAAGGAGATATACTCAAGGTAATTTAAAATAAATATTTATATATATTAGGACAGATTGATTTGTATGGGTGAAAAACGTCGCCTAGGAACATATTTGAAGATTTTTGAATATTAGGGATCAAAATAAGATACTTTGCTGAAGAAACTATATCTCTTAAATGAATTCTGATGTCCCATGCATTGACCCAAAGATTGAGTCAAAATTTTGAAAAATCTTGTTTTGGCTCATTTAGAGTGCCCCAATAGTAACCACTAACTTTAAATCTACGTATGCCCATTGTTCACCACCTGGGACCTCCCATTAGGACGATTTCCTTGAGACTGGAATATCATTTGAAGAAAGAATGATTATCTTACCGGAGTTCTTACTAGAATTTATATATAACAAAGGTTTTTGAATTCAAAAAATTCTAGCACCTTTAAATAATTCACTTACTTGAAACAATGCATTATTTAAACTTTTTTTATATAAATAAAACTTTAACTACAACACAAGTGGATACACCACTGAGTACAAAATCAATTGAAAAGATTGTAAGGCAATGTATATAGGTCAAACGTAACAAAAAATTTAGAAAATGAAACAGAGAACATGAACTAGTATAATAATAATCTTTGAACAAGATTAAGGGTGATTCCACAAACACTAAATTCAAAAGTAGATACAAAGACATCACACAATTCATACAAACTTTTATTCTATAAATTTACCAAACGAAATTAACATTTATACACAAACACAACAAAAGCATGAAGAATCTAACTTGTTAAATGATCTCGTAATTTTTAGTTGTTCAATATACATATATGCAACCATACACACCTTTATCTCAAAGTATTATCTGTTCTAATTTTAGTAAGTGTTTATTTTAAAACACAAAATATAAATACTACAAATTATTTGTAGTAAATTTCATTAAATTGTTATATGTAACATGAGAGACACCTACGCGCTTTTTATTGAACTTAGTTATGTGGAAAAAAGGCAACAGCAGCGCTAGTGCAACGTAACAGCCGTTACGTTCTTGCCTGCGAAATAGATACTGCTGTGTGCCTCTCGTACATGTTACGTACATGTTACGTGCGTTAGGGGCGGCTCTACGTAACCTTCACCTTTTATTATATATTGTGATTTACTGGATAAAAAGTGTATGATGTAACAGATGTGACAAAAAAATCCCGAAAAGTAGAAACAATTATTAATGAAAAATTTTATGACATTTTTTTTTGAAAAGTGAAGGTTTTTAGTCTAGTAATATGTTTTTTTTAATATTTTAAGAGCCAACCGCGGCGTATTAGTGCAAGGTAACAGCCAGAACTTTCTTGCGAAGTAGATACTTCTGTGTGCCTCGCCAGGTTACGTACATGCCACGTGCGTAAGAGGCGGCGTTACGTAACCTTCACGGATTTATTATGTCTTGTGGTTTACTGGATGAAAAGTGTATAATGTAACAAATGTATAAAAGAAAATCCCGAAATGCAGAAATTATTATAAATAAAATTTTTTGTGAGGATCACTATGATTAGATATTAAGCGGACTGTAAAGTATAAATATTCCATCACCATAAGATATGTGAATAAAACCACTTTTTAGTTTACAATATATATTGATCTTGAATCTACAACCTCCTTCTATCGTTACTTTTGCTAGTCTCTCCGTCATTATAAGTTACAGGTATTTATATTCATACATTTATACCCCTACCCTGAATGGTCCCGGGTTAAATAGAAAAAGCACTGGTCAAAACTTGGCCAAAATTAAATAAATACTTTTCATTGAAAAGTGAAGGTTGTTAGTTAGAATTTTTTTTACAATTTTAGATATACAGAAAATCTGGAACTAATATATTATATTTATATTATATTACAAATATTATAAATAAGTGCTCATTTTTGCACTATTATTAAATAGTTCTGTTACAAATGTTTCAAAACTTGCTCTGTCCCATTTTCAATGTAACTTTTCCGCTCAAAAGAAGTTTTGATGTATATTATATACATAATGTGTTTTATATACATAATTTTCATACATTTTTATTATAATTATAAGGTTTTGCTGGAAAGTCGCAAATTGGAGTCAGTAATAGAGTGGCCCGGCTTCATTGGAGATAACGCAACTTGTGCTTGCTGGTATAAAAATGGAATTCTGGTGTCTGGACCGAATGGAGAACTCAGAGTAAGATGAAAATAGTTTATATATATATATATATATATATATATATAAAGCTTTTATTTTCAATTCACAAAAATTAACAAAAACTATAAAAACAAATGCCAATTTCTTCAAGTTGATTATGAAGAAAATATACATATCATTGAAAAAAGTTCTTACTAGAAGTCTGCAAATCTCATTAAAAACAAATTGATTAATTTAAAAAAAACTTATTGTTTTCTTAAATAGTGTTTGTTATTTTAAAACCATAATTAAGTTACTTAGTATACCTTCATCCCGGATAACAAATATTAAAAAATATCGTCCCGGTTTTGACTTAAAAAATATGGCCACCTTAATATTATACACTAAGGAAGAAGTTACATATAAGTTGTTTTTGACAATATATATTGAAATGTGAAATGGTGTGGTTAATTATGTTGGGGTTGATTAGTTTGTCTCTTGGCCGCCTCTGGTTGTCGTATGGGTAAATGATGCATAGGGGTAAAGCTTGGCAATCCAAAATCGACCTGCCACTGGTGTTGGTGACTCGTGGTTTGAATATCATTTCTTCAAATCTGGGTTATTCCTAAGTTATAAACTGGAAGACTTATGGTAGCAATAAATAGAGAATCTTCCTCCAACCAATTTATTGATAACACTCTAAACTACACTTTACTTATAATTAACGCATTACAAGATTTTATTGGATGTTATAGTCCAATATAAAATCCTGAACACAAATAGATTACCGTTATATACTAATATTTTTGGGTCACCAACAATAAAGCAAGGTGCTTCAGTAATATATTGTTTATGGCCTCAAGAATTTTATAAACAAAACACTGCTTCTGTCATAATTTAAACAAATATTGTTTATAATAGCTCGAGACAGTTGAAAATATTGAGCAATTTGTTTTTGCACTTTACTTTATTATAGCATTATAGCAATCAAAAAAACAATAATAATTTTTATAAACTAAAACTAACTACGTATACTAAAATAAAAAGTGTGTGTTATCTAAGATAATCCAGTGATATATCTTCTCAGTTAGTTTGCGCATAATCCAATAGCCATGTCTTTTTCAGTCTTCTATTGTCAGTAGGATGTCTTCAACTTTTGGGTTTGGGTGGGTCTCTAATTTGTTTCTATGGATTAAGGCACAGTCTTGTATTGTTTCCCCTACAGTTAACATTTTCAGGTCATTGTATATTGTGAAGTTTGTGCCATACCACCGTTATAAGATGATGAAATTTTTTCATGGTTTATTTAAATTTTCGGTATCATTTTTCTTACATTATAATTCTTTCACCAATTTAAGTATACAAATGCATTTTTAAAGAACTTGCTCAATCTGCAGCATGTATCAATACATGTTTGTCCAGAGCTTGTTTTGTTTTGAAGGCTTTAATGCAAATTTCACATTTATAAGGGTGTTCTTCATTGTGCCCTAATAAATGTCTACTTAAATGGCTTGATCGTATAAATCTTTTATTGCATAAATCACATTTGAAAGGGCGATCTTCTTTGTGCATTAATAAATTTCTCTCAAAAAACCGTGCCTCTATAAATTTCTCTTAAAAAATGTGTAAATTGTTTATTGAATATTAAAGAGTGAGCTAAAAGGATTATAAGTTGATGTTTTCATGGTTTATTCAAATTTTTGTTATCAGTTTTCTTACATTATAATTATCTCACCAATTTAAGAATACAAATGCATTTTAACACTAGAATGAAGGAGCGAGTAATTTGACTCAATTTGCATTTTTATGTGATATACATAACAATTTCAAGTCATTTTTGAAGTAAAACTTCTTTAGGGGCGACTAGGGTGTAAATGTGTGAAAATGCAACGAAATGATTCGTCATTCGCTCTCGATGATATCATTTCTATACGGGTCGATTGTGATTGGTCGTCGTATCGCGTGAGTATGATTGCTTTGATTGTATGCGTAATAAAACAAATGAAAAATGTGTGGCGCGTAATAAACGTAACTTTTTGGAATTATTTTGTATTATTCGTGGTTACTATATTTTTTTAACTTTCCGTAGGGTAGTTATAGTAATGGGCCGAAAATCGAAAATGAAAATTCTCGCATATCTTCACGTTTTGAAGGTTTCTGAACATTTTGGCATACCTCATTCAAAAATGAATGTGTGTGTGTGTTTTGTATGCCCGGATTTTTCCGTCCAAGTTTTCGGGCGCACGGATCAACCGATTTGAATGGTTGAAAAAACATTCGATTCCTATTGATAGGGAAATGTGCTGATTAGTTTTTGGCAGAGGCAGGTCCAGCCATTACGGAGATACGGAGCAAAGAGTGCAGAAAATACAACGCGTTTTTGAAAGAACGAAGATCCGATTTGAGTGATCTAATAAATATTCAATTTGTAATGATTGAGAAAAGGAGGTGATTAGTTTTTGGCAAAGGCAGGTTCAGCCATTTCAAAGATACAGAGCTAAATGTGCAAAAATTAGCAGTTTTTGAGAGAACTAAGCGTCCGATTTGAATGATTCAAAAAACTTTCTGCTTGTTTTAACAAAATTGCTTTTGGACGAAAAAAATGTTTCTTTTTTTTTGCACATTGTAAATAATTCTGATTTTATTTTAAATCTGACTAAAGTTCTAATATATTTTAAACAAATAATTTTAACTTCGCGATTCAGTTTATATAATTCTTATAAATATTAGACAATGTTACAATATTTATACTAATCTATTTGAAAACATTTGATATTCCTCGAACATTTCGTTACGGTACGGGAAGTTCCAGCAATTTGCCTTAAGGCACGATGCCATACACCACTAGTTTCGAAATTCATAGACAAGAGCTGCTCAAAGAATGAGACTGTATCGCTAGCGAAATAGTTAAAAAAAAAAAACAAACAGCCAATGAATGTATGTTAAATTTAATTACATGACAAGTGAAACAACTGTTCTCGTTCAAATGTAAAAGTATTACAAATGTAAAGTATTACAAAGTTGCATATTTTTATAAATAATGAAAATGAATTGATATTTAGATTTATCACTCTAAATAAGTAATCAAGCACAATAATAGTTTGTGTAGCTGTGTATTATTTATATACAGATATACTTCATAATAAACATCTATGTAATTAATTTATTGCTAGTATTTGAAATTATTCAAGATTGTTATATCACAGCTGACCACTGTGTGATCGAATATTATAAAATTTATTAATCAGCAAACACTTCATTTGCCTAATGTAATTTCTCTAAGGTTCAAGTTCTAAATGATAATTGCAATGACAAACCGATCATGTCGTATTTGAGGCATGACTTTAATCACATTATTGCTTTCAAACATTATAAATATTTTTAATGCTATTATAAATATAATTTATTATTATATAAATATGTATAGTGGTTGACATTAATAAATGTTGGTTTTGGTCTTTCATAGTACAATGAAAGCAATACAATAATTAATATCTATTCCTCCCTAATCCCTTACCCAAATTGACTCTCAATCAGGCAAAATTGGTATTGAAATAATATAATTTGTAGGAGGTCTAGGTATGAGTTGGGGTCCAATGTTGTGTTGACTTACACTCCAGCACTATTGTAATCACAGGTAGATTCTTTGTCCGATTGGGTAGTAAATCTTTCCAACCCTATCCTGGTGCCTTGGGTCGAGCAGTAGAAGTAAGTTTGAATTACAGGTTCGTAAAATAGATCTCTTCGGAATCGTGTGTACTTTCAGTAAGATATAAGCTGAAAGAGATATGTTTCTTGCTTCTGATTCAATAGAAAATGCATTTGTTGAATTGTACACTTTATTTATTCTTTCTTATTACAAAATCCGCCAGACATAATCTCCTTAGCATAATATTCTAAGACTACTCTAGACTAGACTCTCTCTTAAGACTCACTGAATTCGATGGACAATCACTATTCTATTTATCAGGTATAGGACGTGACATATGTGCACTTCCGCATTCGCGCTCTGGCCATGTACTTTGATTATTTATCAATTGCATTATTACACAATAGTATACAACCAACCTCCGTCATTCTAGTGTTAAGAAACTTGCTCAATCTGCATCTGCATGTATCATTACATGTTTATCCAGAGCTTGTTTTGTTTTGAATGCTTTATTACAAATTTCACATTTATAAGCGTGTTCTTCGGTGTGTCCTAATAAATGTCTGCTTAAATGACTTGATCGTATAAATCTCTTATTGCATAAATCACATTTGAAAGGGCGATCTTCTTTGTGCACTAATAAATGTTCTCTCAAAAACCGTACATGTGTAAATTGTTCATTGCATAATAAACATTTATGTGTGCACTCTTTAGTATGGATTAATTTATGTTGGTTTAATGTTTGTTTTGTTTTGTATGTTTTACTGCATATCTCACATGCAAAAGGACGTTCCTCAGTATGAAGAGTTTCATGCCGCTCCAACTTTTGTTTTGTTGTAAATGTTTTACTACATGATGTACATTTATGAGGGCGATCTTCAGTATGTCCTAATAAATGTATTTTAAAATGAGTTGATTGTAGAAATCCTTTATTGCATATTTCACATTTGTAAGGACGTTCTTCTTTGTGCAGTAATGAATGTGCTTTCAAGAAGCGAAATTGTGTAAATTTTTTATTGCATATTTCACATTCATGGGGACGCTCCCCGGTATGTGTCATTTCATGCAGTTTTAAGTTTTTTTCTGAAGTGAATGCTTTATTGCATATTTCGCATTTGAAAGGGCGTTCCACGGTATGAGTTTTTTCGTGTAGGTTTAATGAGTCTTTTCGTGTGAATGTTTTATTACATTTTTCACATTTGAACAGGCGTTCTCCGGTGTGGACAATTCCATGCCGTTTTAATTTTTCTTTTGCTTTGAATGATTTGTTGCATATTTTACATTGATGGAGTTGTTTTAAGTTATATGTTGTTTGATCTAAATTTACTTCATTTGTACTTGTGGCCGCATCTTGATCATCAATTGGTTCTAACTTTATATGTTCATCTATTATTACTTCAGATTCTAAAAATTGTTGTGGATATATTTCTTCGTCTTCGGGACATACTTCTGTTATTTCATAATCATCTAAATCTTGTTTAACTTGAAGACATTCGAGTGGTTCTATTTTAATTGTTGTCCTTGTGTTTGTTTCTTCTGACATTTCAGGCACTTGATGCTTCTTAAACATAAACTAACAATGGCTTACAAAAATATAAAAAGACTTTTAATTTGTGTGCTTTAAATCTATAATAAATATGTTTTATTATATTTTTATTAATTCATTTTGTTTAAATATAATACAAAATAATTTCATTAATAACTTTGACATTTCTATCTCATTTTTACCTCGCAGTTTGAACAACATTAAAAATATGTAACACCAACATGTCAAATGCTAATAAAGGTGCATCCACACCTTTCCACAACGAACAAGAAAATACAAAGAAGAACAAACACGAACACGAACGATGGCAAATCATTCCAAACAAACGCTTCAAAGCAGTGAGGGCCTGAATCTTGTTTTCGAGGATGTACCGTAAAACGTCGGTTTTATTATTAACTTCCCGAAGGAGAAGTTTATATTTTCATCAAAAAATCCGATTCGCTAATTTTGTGTTTTCTCGACGTTTAAAGCCATTCTGAATCGAATGAGATTAAATTTGGAAAAAGTATGTGTGTGTATGCGTGTGTGTGAGCAGATTTTTTGCCGTAAATCAACGTTTTCTCAAAAACGGGTGGACCGATTTCAAAAATTTAAAAGCCATTCGATGTATCTCGATGACGACTAGGGTTTTCGAGTTTTGAGCGAAAATCGGCCGTTTCGTCGTAAATCGCAGAAAAGTGAAAAATTTTTCGTCCACGTTTTAGCCCGCAATTCTGAATCGATTTTGAAAATTCAAAAACCGTTCGATAGATATTGGTTGAGAATCGTGCTGATTAGTTTTTCGTTTTGTTGTAATACAGTTTTAAAAAAAAATTCGACGATTTTTATGCTTTTTTTTTGACGGTAGATACCATAGTATTCTAGATCATACTAAAATATTACCGCCCTACGAGAACTCGTTTAGCTTTAAAAATTCGTCAAAGTTTGCAAAAATTGGTATAGTTTTTTGGGCATTTGTCAAAAATAGACCTTTCATCGAAGTTTACTCAAAAACGCCTGAACCGATTTCAGAAATTTAAAAGTCATTCGATGTATCTCAATGAGCACTATAGTTTGTCAGTTTTGTGAGACGATTTTTCGAGCCGTTTCTTTGTAATTTGAAAAAAAGTGTTAAACTTTTTGTCGACGTTGAAGCTCTTTCTACCAAATCGATTTTAAGAAATCAAAAACTATTTGAAAGATATTAGTTGGGACTGGGACTGATACTGATTAGTTTTAGATGAAAATCTACCGAAACGTTTTCTTGTAATTAACTGTTGAAAAAAAAAATTTAAGACGATTTTTATGGAACTTTTTTTGGCGATATATATCATGGCCTTATAGAACTTACTAAAATATTACGGCCTTACGACAAGTAGTTTAATTTTAAAAATTGTTTGAAAATTTGTTTTTAGAAAATACTCCGAGTTAACGTGTTTGTTCATTTTCAATTATGTGTAATAAATCCACTCGGATACTTTTATACACTCATAAATTAATTTATTTTTTATCGATTAAATCGATTATTTACACATATCGGGAAGTTCATGTAACTTGCCTCAAGGCAAATATCAACTAGTCAACTATACGCGTTCCCGTAAAAAAATTAGGACAACACCACTGGCCAACATATATTATATATAATATATAATAATAATAATTATTATTAGAATACTTTGGCATACCTTATTATTAGAAAAAATGCATGCAAGTGTGTGTGTGTACGTGTGCGGATACAAATTTTCGTCGACGATTTCGGGAACACGGTTCAACCGGTTTCAATTATTCAAAAAATATTCTATTGCTGTTGATAAGGAGACGTACTGATTAGTTTTTGGCATAGGCAGGTCTAGTCATTTCGAAGATACGGGGCAAAAAGTGCCACAAACGGTAACTCGGTTTTTAAGAGAACGGAGTGTCTGATTTTAATATTTAAAAAAACATCATACTTGTATTGGCAAAATGAACAACTGATTAAATTGTCATGAAGGTCTAGCGGTGTCGGAGATCTAATGAAAAAAGTAAAAAAAGCAATTTGGCGGTCAAAAATGATCATTAGACATATGCACATCAAATTATCAGATATTTTATAGAGATTTTAACAATAAGTATAAATTTTGTTTACCTTCCAATGGGTTCCGTACCAATGTTTATCCGTTAGGCGGCGACGCGCTTCGATATTTCGTCTCTATGCAGTTAAAGCAGTACGATTGCTTTGGAAAGAAGTTCAGAATTTACAAAATATTTCAAAATAAAGAAAACAGTTTTTTTTCAGTCTTTTTTCCAAAAAAAGTATTTTTTCTCAAAAACTTACAGTTTCTCAAAAATGTATTTTTCTTCAAAAATGTCAATCTTTTCAAAAAAAAAAAAAATTTTTTTTGGTACGGAAGTTCCAGCAATTTGCCTTAAGGCACGATGCCATGCGCCCGGCTAGTTAAGTTTTATTGATTATCAGAATAACTAAACCCGTCATCAGAATTCAAACAAATCAATAACATCATATAATATATGATACCTCTGTCTCCTTTCCAGTTTTTTTCAAACGAGCAGATGCCGCCGAATGCAATCATCAGCTCCGAACGCGTTTTACAATCGGGCAATGGGAACGAATGGCGAACCGTTTGGAAGTCGAGTGGGCCCCCAGACTGCTCGATTCGGCAACTGGACTGCGCCATCGGCAGGGATACGCTGCTATGCTGGACATCGAATGGGGGCTGTTTTGAATTTACGATTCAATTCGATTCCGAAGAACCCACGGAATTTCATAAAATTGCACAGTTTAACATGCAAGTGGGAAAACATAATTTAAATAATTAGATATATATATATATATATATATATATATATATACACTAAGTCTGTTTTTACACGGTCTTTTTGAACACGGTTTTGATATAACACGGTTTGAAAATTGAATATTTTTAATTTTTTTACACGAATTTATTCCATTTAGCACGATTTGAAATTTTATGTACCTAATTTTTTTCTGTCAAATTAAATTTTTGCGAAGTATGTTCATATCACAAAAAAGTATTTATGAAAGAAAAAAGTCTGAAACCATCGATAGTATCGATAGTTTGCGAACACTAGCTTAGATTTAAGTGAATTCCCCTTTAGCGCGTACAAACAATTGTTACTGGTCAAAGCAAATGTGAATAGCACTAATGTAATTCTTGTTCTTAAAAATTCTTGTTTTTCACCAATTTTAATAGGTTTTAGAGATTAGGAACAAATCACCCATTTTTGTATAAGATCAATGTCTTTTTTTACACGTTTTTTTTACACGGATTCTTCTGGAACCAATCTCCGTGTAAAAACAGACTTAGGTGTATATATATATATATATACTAGATGACCCGACAGACGTTGTCCTGTAATCACGACTACAATTCAAAAATTCAAAATTTTCTAATATCCTGTCCTAAACTTTTTAATATCCTATTTGATGTCCTGTCTTTGTGATTTATTTATGATCTTATTCTCATTTATCTTCTTAGTATAAGATAATCAAATTTAGAATAAGACATCTTAAGAAATTCAGAAAAAAATAATATAGTATCTGCGGTAAAAGACAATATCACACTTGATTTTACCACCCAACATAATTGCTTCAATAATTTAGTCTATAATTTTTATATTCTCGTACGATATATTTGTTGCTTTTTGGCAATTATAATTTCTAAAGTACATTTTTCTTACTGATAATTTAACAAACATTATTGTTTATGTTCAAATCTTAGATGAATTAATTTGTAAAATCTAGTTCATATATGAGCACTCTTAAATCTAAGATCAACTTAAAAAATATTCCATATCCAACGCCAAACAAATGATTTTTTGACACATGAAAGAATGTTCTAAATCATTTTTTTAATAAGTAGAAACACATATTTGTACTACATAATTTGGTTACCGTGTGGTCTGTTCATTTGATCTTCTTTTCTTGCAATAATTTTCTGATATACTGGACACCCTTTAAAGTTAGCAGTATGATTATTCAAACAGTAAGCACAAGTTGCTGGAGTTTCTATAGACCTAGTACATGACTTAGAAGGATGATCGTCTCCACATTTAATGCACATGTGAGGCTTATTGCAATATGTTTTGCTGTGTCCATAGTCTGGGCATCTTCTACACTGGATAATTTGTGAAGATCGTATTGGTGGTTCAAAGTGTACTATATTATTTAAAATTTTATTCACAGTAAAAATTTCATGGTTATTCTTGTTCGGTTCTAAGTCTACATAGAACATATTAAGCGGTTCTCTTGATCTGTAGTGTATGACGTTAACTATATTACTTGTTGCGTTAATTATTAAATTGAATTATATAATTTCATCTGCCAAACATATACTGTTGACAGTATCTTATATTATTTTAAATTCTGGCACATCTCAGCTGTTTTTCGGCAATAATAATGTAGACATTACATATTTCTTGTATATTATATTCTAACATTATCTAGGCTCATAATTTCAGCTAAATTAAAATTTCAAGTGAATTGACATTTCTAGTAGATGATGTTCAAATGTTTTCAATGTCAAACCATGACAAGTGGTTTTGTGAAATTTTTGCCTTTTATTTCTACAATATTACTATAGGTTTATCGTTCATTAAATCTTAAACATTTCCTTTGACAAATTTTAAAAAGAATTATCAAAATCCGAATAACCGTTCAGGAGAAGTATTAAATCATACACCAGTACAGAAGAATTTTATATATAAGATATATAATTATAATAATAAATGGTAATCTGTCTAAAGGCAGGTCCATCGTGTGAGAGCCATCACAAATAAATGATTCCCTTACCCTTTGTCGTCTATCATTCCCATTACCACTATTTTACTCCCCCCTCCTTTTACACTTTGCTGTGTATTTTACTTTCCACACTCCTGCTACCATGCTACCGTTCCTGGTCGTCAATCATCTGCATTCTTCTTTTTCCTATTCCTTGAATTGAATTTGATAGCGGGAGCACGACTGTTTGCCTCGGACACCTTGGGTTTTATATACGGTATAGACAACACACTTTCCTTCGGATACCTTTGGTTCTTTTCCTTGGTATTGATAATACACTTTCTACTTAATAATTTCTTTATTGAATAATATATACGAAAATATGTACAATAACTCCAGTCGGCAACTGTACTGAATTGCTATGAGTAGGCCCATTGCACCGGTTTTATACTAGGTCCTTAACGGTACCCGCCAGGGTTACACAACCTGCTGCAATGGGCAGGGGTATGAAACCTTTACATAATTTTAAGTTTTTAAAAATTAGGTTCGTTACATATCATCCTTTTAGTCCTTCTATTTTACCTTCGACTACGTCGTGTAGTAGACACTCTTTGCAGAATGGGATCAACTCAATTTCTTTTTCTTATCAGGATCGTGCTTAGTAAAGTCTTTTATTCGCACACTCTTCTCAGGACTTCTTCATTTGTTATTTTGTCTGTCCAGTTTATCTTTTCCAATCGCTTCCAGCACCACATATCAAAACTCTCTAGGTAGTTGTTATGGGCCTTTCTTAGAGTCAATGTCTCTGATCCGTACAGAGCTATGCTTCAGATAAAGCACTTCATTAGTCTCTTCCGCAAGTTGAGAGACAGTTTCCTCATCAGTATAGTTCTCTTCTTCGTGAATGCCATCTTGGTTTTTACGATATTTGTCCTAATCTCTGATCAGGATGCTTCCCAGGTATTTGAAATGATCCACGTTCTTTAATTCTCAATTTCCTAACGTTATCTTTAGGGGTTCATCTCTTTTTGCGATTCTCATCATCATCTTATATTTATATATAGAAGGAATTGATTTTTTAGATAATGTCCTTAGATCTTTTGTGCAAAAATAGTATTTGTTTTTTTATTCTCGTCGTTTTAATGATTTCTTTTAATTTACAGATCTTTCACCCACATGGACATTGTTAATCCCTTGCAGACTCATGTTGTGACCCTCAGTTCCAACAACAAATTGACACTCTGGAGAGCTCACGATGGAGTCGAGGTAAGATTGTCTTATCGAAATCTTATGATCACAAATTAGTTTTAAAAGTTTCGAAAATCGAATATTTGTGTGTTGTACATCGAAAATTAAAATGTTAGTATGTCTTTACGTTTCAAAGGTTTCTGAACATTCTGGCATACCTCAGAAAAAATTGATCTATGGGTGTAAACAGTGGCGCCGGAAGCAAATTTGTGATGGGTGGGCTCTTTCATTTTTTTTAGGCAGCCAGTGTTGCCATGCATAAAGAGAAAATCTCATATCTTGAGATTGAGCTCGTTTTTTTTATTTTGTAGGCAGCCGATGTTGCCAGAAAAAGAAAATTTCATATCTTCAGATTGATGGGTTGGCTCGTTTTTGTAGGCAGCCAGTGTTTCCAGGAAAAGAAAATCAATTTTTTCGAGATTGATGGGTGGGCTCAGAGTCAGCCCAGACGGTTTCAACGCCACTGGGTGTATGTATTCATATTATTGTTGACGATTTTGAGCGCACGGATTCAAATAGATAGATAGATAGATATATAGACAGGTAAATTGGCAGACAGGTAAACAGGTAGGGAGATACTGGTTACAAAATCATGCTTGCTTTATGCTGCTTTGGGAAGAACAAATGGTGTCCTGCATCTGGTCAACTTGTTATGCATGTAGTTATGTACATGCTGACAGGTATACAAGTTGAAAGGGAAACAGATAGGCTGGTAAACACGCAGATAGATGATTAGGTAGATATGTGGACAGATATGTGAATAAGTAGATATGTAAATATTAGGGTTTATACAAAAACCGACATTTCAGAAAACCGGTTATCAAATTTTAATTTTACTAAAAAACCGGTTTTAACCGGTTTTCGCATTTTATATAGAAAATAAATTTTTGCTCGAATATTCTGTAATTTATCCGCAAATTTAGTGTAATTTAAAGCAGTATTTGACTGAATTTATTTATTGTTCAATTTTATAGATAGTAAACAAAATTATTTTTTTAGTTAGTTTTAATTAGTAGAACTAAAATATAATAGTCTATCTTGATTAAATAACTTTGAAAATAATCGTTATCTATGCATCATTTTCACATTTACGAATGAAAATATTTTTATGATAGTGAAAGAAATGTTTCCGAATAAATAAATATAATATATTTTTAAATAAAAAAAAATCATTAAATTAAAAAAAAAATTTAAAAAATATTAGATACATGTTGATACATACTTGTTAATATAAATTTTAGTTTTAAAAACAATTAAGCTAAACTTTTATTTCTGTTTCGAGCAATTTTAATTAATTCATTTTAAACATTCTAATTGTTTTTTGTTTAATAAAATATTATTTAAAAAATGGAAAACGTCTATCGAATTGCTACTTAAACGTGTCCTTTGTTTATTCACTGAAATAGAAATAGAAAATACTCTCATATTTGCGACCAAATTATGCTTAATTGTTTTTAAAGCCTGATATAATAATTCTAAGTTTTTTCTTTACTTTGTGGCTTCTAGGGTTTAAAACTCTTTTTTAAGTTTGTGTAGAGGAAGTTACTTCTTGAAAAAGAAGTCATACTGATTTGAATTAATATATACACTGGTATAAAAATCTAAATTATTATATACAAAAACTTTCTGGGAACCATTGATATCAAATATTCTGGGAGACTGATAAGATATCAAATGCTATTGAAACGATATGATTTCAAGAATCAAAACGCTTTCATCTATCTTTTATATTTGGCTATATTTGTCATTTTCCATTTATACAGTGAAAACCGATTTTTTTCAGTAAATAACCGGTTTGCGAATTCCATAATTTTTGCCAAAAAACCAGTGTTTAAAACCAGTTTTTGAAAACCGACAAACCCTAGTAAATATATAGACATGTAATTAGATGAATAAGTAGATAGGTAGATATAGACAGATATACAGGTTGAGGAAAAGCAAGTAAACAAATATTTTTAGAGTGGTAGACAGGTGAACTGGTAGACCATCAGTTACCATAAATTACAAATTATATAATTAAAATGTATAAATTTCTGCTTGTGTATATGTTTATGAGTTTGTTTGTTGGTTATAGCAAAGTAAATATAATGCTTAAAAATATGTTTTGTTTTTGAGTTTTAAACTTACTTTTTTGACAAAAGAAAAATGTATTTAGGAAATAAGATTTATAAAAATGAATCTATGACATGAATATCTTAGAAATTCCAAAAATTACTTTTCATTTCATGTCTGTTTATTTTTGCAGATAAATATAATTCATGATGAATCAAAATTCTATTAACAATTTTAAATTATTGATCAATTTTATTAATTACACAGGCCAACAAAGAAAACGGTGCAAACGATTTTAATGCTGTTTTTAAGTATATTTGGGGCGCTGATTTCAAAAATGACATTTGTTTTTTTCTATGAGCTTTAGTTTTCAAGATATGATATATAAGAAATGAGAGTACAAAATAGTAATACTATTCAGAATATTATTTTAATGAGATATGCCTACTCGTACATACAAACTTGCAAGACCCATTCGACCTTAGTTGGGACATTAGTTGATACTGTGAAAAGTTATTTTCCGTGACGACCTAGAATGGACCTGGTTTCGGCAACTTCTTTCCAAGTTCTAAACTAGAGCTGATACAAAAAAATGGTAGATTTGAAATCAGTGTAAAAATACTATAAGAATCAGTTCTAACATTTGATCCACCAAACAAAAAAAAAATTTTGTAGGCCTGTGTTATTGATTACTTTTATTCCTCAAATGTTTAAATACGATACTGTAAGTTCCAGCAATTTGCCTTAAGGCACTATGACATGCACTACCAATTGGTTTCAAATGATATTTAGCCTTAGAATGATTTTCCGAAATATCTAAAAGTCTAATATTCAAAGAAATGCATGGCATCCACATGCATTAAGGCAATCAGCACTCTAACCAATTGATATAGATTAGAATTTGGCACAAATGTATCAGGTTTAGTTTTTTCAATTGGACAAACTAATTTTTTTAATTCATCTACCTCTGTAGGATGCTGTGCTTGTGGTCCACGAATCCGCAAAGATATTGGTTACAAATCCCTGCCTGCCATATGCTGCTTTGGGAAGAACTGATGGTGTCCTGCATCTGGTCAACTTGTACGATACACAGAATATTTCAGATCTGGTTAAATTCAGACTAAGTGATCAGGTGATCCTTTTTATACATTAATCACTTTTTGGTTTTTTATAACACAGAACATTTTGGATCTGGTTAAATTTAGACTAAGGTGCCGATTCTGCCACATGATAGAAAAATGTTATGGCAAGGCCATGTTACGCTCCGACTTCCAGACATTATGCTAATGAATTATACTGAATACTGTCAAAATGTCATATATTTGATATGCATTCAGGTGTTTTACACATAAACTGCAACGTCACTCGTATGCTATGAAGCTGGGCCAGAAAGACCCTGTTATCTAAGATAGTTTTTTGACATTTGTGCGGTTTCTAGGTTAGGTTTTCTATCTGACAACCTGAGAAATACGCCTGATTGCACAGCAACCACATGGCTTTTGTCAATATTTAGTATGAAAAGTTCTTCATAACATAACCTTGCCATAACATTGGTCTGTTTTGGGGCAGAATCTTTATAAATCTTTTTCTTTTATAAATGATCATTATCTTTTTTTGCAGCCTATCAACTTCATAACTTTTCCTCAATCTGGGCGCTACATAGCCGCCTCCAATTTGGAATCTGGTGAACTGTTTGTTATTTCTGGAAGCGTTGGTTCCAAAATGGACATCTTGTACTACATCGATATCCGGCACCAGTGCGCGATGCTTACCTGCATGGAAGTAGGGAGTGATGTCAGGATTGCCACCTTGATGGTGACGGATGACACTTATCTGGCAGGTAGGATATGTGATTGGTGATTTGATAAGATTTTTGTGTATATAAAATTTTCATGCCACAATGCTTGTTCACGTACTCCTCTGAAACGGCTTTACCGATTTTTACTAAATTTTATATTTGTATTCAGTAGGTTTGAGAATCGGCTACTATCTATTTTGCATACTAGGGTTAGTGATAAAGGTTGTTTACCCTTACATTTTTTTTAATTTTTGGGCGATTTTTTATAATGTGTCATTAAAAAATACCTGTTTATTAATATTAAAATGCACTAACCACTATTTTTAACTTTCCGTAGGGTAAGTTATTGTAATCGTCCAAAAATAGAAATTCAAAATTTTTACATTTTTCGACGTTTTGAAGGTTTCTGGACATTTTAGCATACCTCAGAAAAAATGGATGTGTGTGTGTGTTTTGTGTGTCCGCATTTTTTCAACCGATTTGAATGGTTCAAAAAACATTCGATTCCTATTGATATGGAGATGTGCTGATTTGTTTTTGGAGATAAAGAGCAAAGAGTGCAGAAAATAGAAATCGAGTCTTTGAGAGAACGGAGCATCCGATTTGAATGATCTAAAAAACATTCAATTAGTAATGATTGGGAGAAGTGTTTATTTGTTTTTGGCGAAGAGAGGCTCAGCCATTTGTAAGATACAGAGCTAAATATACAAAAAAGGCAGTTTTTGACAGAAATAAACATCCGAATTGAATGATTCAAAAAACTTTCAGCTTGTGCTTGTGACAAAAGAATTACTTTTGGAAAAAAAAATGTCATTTTTTTGTATATCGAAGGTGATTCAGATTTCAATTTTAATTCTGGCTAAAGTTTTAAAGCTTACTTATATACATAAAATGAATATTTTTGACTATGTGATTCAGTCAAGTTATAATGATCGCAAAAAATCGAAAATGAAATTTTCTATATATGTTTACGTTTTAAAGGTTTCTGAATATTTTGGCATATCTTAGAAAAAATGGATGTATATGTGTGTGCGGACATAAATTTTGGTGGACGATTTCGGGAACACCGATCAACCGATTTGAATAATTCAAAAAACTTACGATTCGAATTGATGAGGAGACGTGCTGATTAGTTTTTGGCGAAGGCAGGTCTAGCCATTCCGTAGATACGAAGCAAAAAGTGCCAAAAACGGTAATTCGGTTTTTAAGAGAGCGTAGCGTCCGATTTTACTTGTATTGACAAGATGAACTGATTAAATTTTTGGAAAGGCAGGTCCAGCGGTTAAGCACTATCAATAAAAATAAGTTAAAAAAATGTTCATTGGATATATGTACATCAAATTATCAGATACTTTATAGAGATTTTAATAATGTGTACACATTTTATGTAAATTTTTTAGGGTTCCGTACCAAGATTTTTAATTACGGTACGGGAAGTTCCAGCAATTTGCCCCATAGGCACGATGCCATGCACCCCACTAGTTTATAACCATTTTAATAATTCACTCACTTTTATCGCGCGTTCAGTCATTGAATATTTTTGGCATATTTTTAGTTCAGATTTTTGAGCTTATTAAAGAAGAAGCCTAAATTTTACTTGTAAAAACAATTTGTTTTTTCAATGGTTGTCCAATCTTAATAGTTTTTTTTAATTTTTGGTCAATTTTTTTATTATATTTTTTAAATGTGGGATTGATAAACACATACAACTTTTTTTACTTTAAAATACTATTTTTATCAAGGGTGATCCAACCTAAATTTTTAACTTCCCGTAGGGTGAGTTATAGTACTTGCAAAAAAATCGAAAATGAAAATTTTTGCATATCTTTACGTTTTAAAGGTTTCTGAACATTTTGGCATACCTTAGAAAAAATAGATACATGTATGTGCGTGTGTGTGTGTGTAGTATGTATGTATGTATGTTTGGATACAATTTTTTGTCCACAATTTCGATTTGAATGGTTCAAAAAACATTCGATTCCTATTGATAAGAAGACGTACTGATTAGTTTTTGGTGGAAACAGGTCCAGCCGTTTCGGAGGTATGGGACCAAAAGTGCTAAAAACGGTAATTCAGTTTTTGAGAGAACGGAGTACCCGATTTGAATGATTCATAAAACATGAATAATTGATGAAATTTTTGGTGAGGCTGGTCTAACGGTTTTGGAGATACAGACTAAAAGTAAAAAAAAATGATATTTGTTGGTCAAAAATGAGCATTAGAAGTATGCACATCAAATTACCCCAGATATTTGATAAATTTTTTAAAAATGAGTTCTAATTTTTTTGTTACAATTTTGTTGGCTTCCATACCAAGATTTTTAATTTTTAAAGTTTATGCGGTTCAAGCTAATTTCAAAATTTTCCGAAAGAAAAAATTCAAACTTTTCAAAAATATTCAAAGTTTTTTACTTCAAATATGAAATTTAAATTTACAATTCTAATCGTAAGAAATATATCCTCAGATGGATTCATTCGGCACCTCTTGCTAATGTAAACTATCTCAAGTGTTTTGAGCAATAAGATCCTCACTGTATATTTTTTGAACGATCAAATATATAGTGATTATAATTATCTATTTGAAAATGTATAAAACAATTGTTGTAAATCATTGATCAATTTTTATTTTTCATTGATTTTTTTTCCTCGAATATAGTATGTACTGGTATTTCGAGATTTTTTTTTATTTTACAAGGAATTTTTTTTACTACATATTTATATTTTTAAAAATACATGAACTTTTTTTACTACGAAAACCTATTTATTTTTATCAAGGATTGTCCATTTCAATTTTGGAATTAATTTTCTTTTAATTTTAATCTTCACAATGCAGAATTAAAAAATGCATACTACTCTAAATTTACATCTTCCTTCCATAAATCTCTATTTCATAATTGCCATTTTAGTATTCGAATATTTTTTCACCATAAATCTCTGAAACCGCTGGACCTGCCTTTTCAACAATTTAATCAGTTCTTCATTTTGTCAATTCAAGTAAAATGTTTTTTCTATTATTGAATTCGGACGCTCCGTTATCAAACTGAATTACCATTTTTGACACTTTTTGCTCCGTATCTTCGAAACGGCTGCAGCTGCCTTTGACAAAAACTAATCAGCAGGTTTCTTTATCAATAGGAATCAAATGTTTTTTGGACCATTCAAATCGCTTGATCCGTGTTCTCTGAATCGTCGACGAAAAATTGTATCTGCACATACATATATACATACACACACCTACAAACATACATCCATTTTTTCTAAGGTATGCCAAATTGTTCAGAAACCTCTGAAACATAAAGATATATACTGCGAGAAGTTAATAAAGTATGAGGACTCTATTGACAAACAAACTGTATATCTATTTGATAAAATAAAGCACTCTACGAGTCAAAAAGGACTCTCCTAACGAACAAACTGAATTTCGTCATGAGAAGCAATAAAAGATTAGATTGACTAGAAAATAGATATGAAAAAAAGAACTTCTATTTAATGGCAATCAAATTCATAGGAGTCAAATATAATGGGCTTTTTGAAATTAAATATAAAAATTAGAAAAGGACTCTATAGAGTCTAAAGAATCAATACCTTGTCAAAACAAACATGACTTGAACAAGAAGAATAATCATAAATCTACTGAAAAGCAAATTAAATAGTTACCAAAAAATCAAAATCGAAGAGGCTACTGAATGGCAAATCTCCAATTTAAATAGTTTTGCCAGTATTTTCTACATGCAAAACATTTTTCCATACTGTTGGAATTCTCCTAACCTCATAACAATTGATAGGCCCCTACCAGTTAATGGGTCACTGGGGCTCCAAAAAATCAACAGGCATCCATACTGAGCCTTGTATAAATATAAATATAATAAAAACCCAATTACTTGATTTTTATGTAACACCTGTCGGACAGTATTTCAAAGCGTGTGCTAGCCGACCAAATGTTAGTAAGAGGAACCAGAATGGTAAAGGCAATTTATTAAAATCTCCGTTGCAACAAATAAATATTGGACGAAGAAGTTTAAGAGGACGGACTACTGAAAAGCAAATTAAATAGTTACCAAGAAATCAAATTCGTAGACGCTATTGAAGGGCAAATCTCCAATTCAAATAGTTTTGCCAGTATTTTCTACATGCAAAACATTCTTCCACACTCTGTTAGAATTCTTCTAATATCATAATAATTGATAGGCCCCTACCAGATAATGGGTCACTGGGGCTCCAAAAAATCAACAGGCATCCATCCTGAGCCTTCAATAAATATAAATGTGATACAAACCGAATTACTTGATTTTTATTTAGCACATGTCGGACAGTATTTCAAAGCGAGCGCTAGCCGACCAAATGTTACTAAGAGGAACCAGAATGGTAAAGGCAATTTATTAGAATCTCAGCAAAAAAATGAATATTATATGCATAAAATAATCTGAACTAAATTCACAAGAGTGGTAATTTAGATTTTAACGAACTCTGCAGAACGCGTCGCCAGACAGACAGACAGACAGACAGAAATAAAAATTTATTCAATATATACAGTGTAAAATACAGTGAATTATATGTGGGTTTGTCTACCCTGGGGGTATTTTACCCAAAAGTTTGTGGTTTTACAATATTGTCTATATATTTGTATTTGTACAATATTTTATTCATTATTTCGCAAGGACAAAAAAAGGAGACGATTTTTGTCACCTAAAAAAAATCCTTTATTCATTGTTTTATGGCTTATGTATTCACTGCGGGCTCGATCAGGTAGTTAGGCATGGCATAGTTCCCGTACCAGATCATTTCTGATGTGTACTGGCCTAACGCGCGGATGGTACTATTATCGTGATCCCTACACTTTCGGTAAAAATTCTCGGTGAGCTTTTTTATGTGTTCGAGTATGGTCGGTATGTCCGTCTGTTCGTGTAAATATTTCGTTGGGTAGTAGTGTCTCGTCAGTGGGTTCCTTGATTTGTCTAGTACCAGTCGCAGTGCTTTGTTCTGTGCTATTTGTAGTCTCCGTCTGTTGGTCTTGGTTGTCGCGTTCCATGCCGGAGCGGCGTATGTCAGTAATGGTCTTATCAGTGTCAAGTAAAGTGTCCGCTTGTTCTTCACGCTTAGCGGGCTGTTGTGGTTCAAAAGAGGTCTCAGTAGATTCATCATCCCGTAAGCCTGTCCAATTTTTGTATTCGTATGTTTTGTGAAGCTGAGTCTATAGTCCAAGGTTACGCCAAGGTATTTGACTTCCTTGGACCACTCAGCTTCATGGCCCATTACCTTTAGTTTCGTCAAGTCAGTAAGTGTAATGGACCAACGGCTTTTTGTAAAGAAAATTGCTTCTGTTTTAGAAGGATTGATTTTAATTTGCCATTTTTCCGTGTAATCAGTCAGGGCGTCTATATGTCTCTGTATTTTTGTAGTCAGTAGCGTAGGTGAACGTGATGATCTGTAAATGGCAGTGTCGTCAGCAAATGTCAACAGTGTTGTGTCGGCGTCAGTGGGCATGTCGTGGATGTAGACGTTAAACAAGGACGGTCCCAGGATCGAGCCCTGCGGTACTCCCGCCGTCACTTGTTTAATCGTCGAGGGTGTGTTGTCTACTTGAACTGTGAAATTACGGTCAGCGAGGTAAGAATGGAGTAGTTTTGTGATGTATGGTGGAAAGTTAAGGGTTATGAATTTGTGTATCAGTCCGTCCATCCAGATGGTGTCAAAAGCCTTCTCGAAATCGAGCAACACCAATCCGGTATGGTTTCGTCTATTGAAGTTGAGTACAGTGTTTTCTATTAGTTGTGTCAGTGGATGTAACGTAGAGTGCTGTTCCTAAAGCCGTACTGTGTGTCTGGTATAATCTTGTTTCGTCTGATGTGTCTGTTGATGCGTTTGAGTAGTACCTTTTCAGTTACTTTGCTCATTGTATTGAGGAGGCTGATTGGTCTGTAATTTTGCGGAGAGTCTGGCTGTTTCCTCGGCTTCAGGATAGGAAATATGGTCGATGTTTTCCATGAAGCAGGAAAGTGGCCTTTGGCCATTATACGGTTAACCAGTCGTGTGATTAGTATGTATGCGTTCGTTGGTAGTTGTTTCAGTATTATATTTTGTAGTCCGTCCGGTCCGGGTGCTTTCCTGTTCGGTAGTTTTCTGATTGTCAACTTTATTTCTGAAACTGTGGCAGGGTCTATTCGTAGGTCTTTGTCGTTAAATTGTTCAGTAAAATTTTGAATAGAATTGCGTACGTCTCGTCTTAAGTCTGCGTTGGACATGTCGGCGTTTTGTCTGTGTATGTTTTCAAAGTGTGTTGCTAAAATTTCTGCTTTGTCTGCTGGTGTCGTGGCGTAGTTGTTGTCAGGTAGTTTGAGTGGCGGGATAGGTGTTGTTTTCCTCGTCAGTCTTTTGGCTGTTTGCCAAACTTTGTGCGGGTCAGTGTTGATGGTTTCTAGTTTTTTAGTCCAAGTGTCATTCCGGTGCTCACGTATCTCATTATGAATAATTTTTGTCAGTCTGTTTACGTGTTCCTTTAGTAGTCTGTCACCAGTACGTTGCCACAGTTTCTTTATATTGTTCTTTAATTTAATTTTTACTAATATTTTTTGAGGAAGCGTGTCAAATGTGGATGTATTTGCGTGTCGCAGCGGTATTGTGTGTTGGATGTGTCGT